AAAAAAAAACAAACATTTCGATCATGGATTACAAAAAATTCGATCATGAATTACAAAAAATTCTATCATGGGTTACCAAAAAAAAAAACAAAAAATTCGATCATAGATTACAAAAAAAAAAAACAAACAATTCGATCATGGATTATAAAAAAATCGATCAAGTATTACAAAAAAATCTATCAAGGATTAACAAAATACAAAATACAAAAACCAAAAACAAAAAAAAAAAAAAAAAAATTCCATACGAAATTCGTTGATTCCGTACAGTGACGTACAGAAACATCCGATTTTCTCTAAAACCGGACTGACGTACAGAATCATCCGATTTTCTCTAAAACCGAACGATTTCTATGTACAGAATCATCCGATTTTCTCTAAAACCGGACGATTTCTATTTATTCGTTGATTCGATCGGTTCATGGCGATTCCCGATTCGACTCAGTATTTTTTTAAACACTGGTTTATTGTAAATCAAGTTGTACGTATGTCTTTTACGGAGATGTGGCTTGTTTGCCACATGCTTTATTTTGCACGCTGCTTGCCACATACTTGATTTTACTGCCTGTGCGATGTGTTTTATAGAGTGAATTGCTCCATCAACATTTTGATGTGGGGCAAATGTTTTACGTCCATTGTAAAAATTAAAATAAGTTTTTTTTGCTATAAACCATAAATACATATTAAGCTATTGGTTAATAGAGATTAAAAAGAAAAAAAATAGTACTTACTTATAAGATATTATAATAATAATAAAATAATATTAATGTTAATTTATTGATCATTAAAAAATTACTAGTTTATGAGATATTTTAAAATAAAAAAATAATCCAAACCATTTTAAAATATATTTTAAAATTTTTTGGTCAATTATCCCGAATTGCAAGTGTGATATATATATATTTTTATAATTTTATAATAATATAATTACAAATTTATGTTTCTAAATTATATATTTCTGTAGATTTATTTATTTGTAAGGATCACATCTTTGTTTTGTATAAATAATTATACATTGATAACTAAATCTTTTATTTTTGTTGTTTATTTATTTATATTATAAAGTATATAATATATTATTTTTATTATAGCTGTAAATATTTTTTTTTTTTAAAATTAGATTATATTATAAGACAAATTTAAAATTTATTCATACAGGAAAATAACATCTCAATATTCGCATATTGATGAAGAAAATGGAAATTCTTAATGTAATACCCACACTTCTTATTAGATTCTTAAAAAGCAATATTTATAATGACTTTTAATAGTTTTTTTTGAATTTTTTTAAAAATAAATCTGATTAATTCTCAATCCGAAACGTCGATTCACTGATTCCGATGGATTTTTGAAGTGCCCGATCCATTTTTTAAACCATTGGTTTCACCTCAACCAATGAATGTAGGGTTGTCCATCGGGAACACCAAACCTGCTCGATCCGAAACGTCGATTCACTGATTCAGATAGATTTTTGAGGTGCCCGATCCGTTTTTTAAACCATTGGTTTCACCTCAACCAATGAATGTAGGGTTGTCCACCGGGAACACCAAACCTGCTCAAAGTAAAAAAAAGGGAAAGAAGCCAGAAACTTCAAATCACAAGAGCTTTCAGGTATCATCAACAACAGCCGTGGTGTGTCCTTCCTCTTGCCAAAAGTCGAATGTACTTGTCATAAATAATGGTGCATATTATACTTCGTAGAAAAATGCTTAATTTTATTAAAAATTCACCCACTGTTTAGTGATATTTGCTGCAAAATTTGCACTCACAGCCAATGCATGTTTTCATTTTATGACCTGTAATCCTTTCATCCAAATTCTAAAAACCCATCAAGCCAACATAAAAATTGAAACATACGTCGTCGAAAATTAAAACTTTCCCTTAAATCATTTTAAGCCTAAAACTTTCCCTTAAATCATTTGAAGCCCGTGTAAATGGGTGGCGTGTGTTAGGTGGACATCCAACGTAAAATTTTATCAAAACTTCTCATGAATTTAAAATATGAGATTTCTGCTTATGTTAGGGCATTGCTGTAAATGACACACTGTATTGGAACTCAGTTATAAGCTTTATTGAAGGTATGACCCCTTAATAAAACAAAATGACGGACCCGAATTTATATAGTGGATCCCACTAGTTGAGAAAAAGCTTCGATGATAATGTTTGTCAAAAAAATAAAATATGTATAACAGACTTACAAGTAGGGCCACGAATGAGCCGAGCCTGAGCGCATGGTAAAAAGGGTGTCGTAGAGGACCCGTCCTACCCCCACCAGGCTGTCTATAAAAGATGCTATAACTCCGTAGATGGTAACGTTTGTGGACACGATGAAACCACAAAGTCTTTCTCTGAGCATCGTTTATCTTTTTGCTGAGCGTTGGTTTCCTTTGTTCGCTTCCAGTGCATTTGAGGCGACTTCAAGATCAAGTGACAGGCCAGGGATCAAAGTCTTTCGCATTTGTGAACATGGCTTTGCTTGTAGGGCTCTTCATATTCTATACTACAAAACCAGAGGCTTTTGACTTTTGAGCAATGGGGAGCTCTTAGAAAGGTGACACTCTCCGCCCTTTTAGCTTTTTTTTTAATTTTTATTTTTGGATAATCACTGGGGAATACATGCCCCTACTCATTTTAAAAAATATTTAGTGGTATTATTTTTTGTTTTTGGATGATAAGCGGGGCAATACAGGCCCTACTCATTTTTAAAAAATAAGTAGTATTTTTCTAAAGATTCAGTGAGAATGGAAACTTAGACAGGTAGCTCAGCTCAATGGTTCCACCGACCTCGGCCTCAACCCCATTCCCAACCTTTTTAGCCCTAACCCTTGCTTTCCTAGCATATCTATGGATGAGTGTTCCTCTTGCCTTGGTTTTTGTGGTGTGTGTTGTATGAGGCATAACTTTGTCTGGTGGAGTGGCTATGTTTTTCTAGTGTTTCAAAACCTTGCAATTTTCGATCCCGATCGTTGATCTACACGAGAGTTAGTTGGGATCGAACTGGTTCTGAGATTGTATTTGTCCAAGCATGGTCCCTCTTTGAAACTCAGGGGCTGATTGGTACAGTGTCAGCCAAAGACCCATATTGAATTTGAATCGATTTGACGGTCACGATTTTATTTCATATTTAAATTTTCATTTTATTTTTCTACAAATCTAAATCATTTGAAAATTTAGGAGTACATTTTATTCATCAACATCCACCTAATAAATATATAAAAAAAATAATTTGTAAAATACAAATTGATCAAAATATCCTTGAAAATTGTATCTGTGTGTTTTTCCGATAAAAGTTTATAGGCACCAATTTAAAGTATGTTTGCTATCTTTTATGCAATCTCTCAGTGAAGTTTTCCGTGGTAGCAAAGGTAATTTTAGAACAATACCTTGCTGAGAATTGGGATTTGGTCTGAATGATTAGTAGTTGACGTTTATAATGTTATATATCGAGCAAAAAGGCCTGCAAAAAATAGTTAAACTCAACAGATGCCACACAAATAATTTGAAGACTAAAGAAGATGAAAAATGTAAAAGATGGATTAAATTTGTTTTTTGATTTAGACCTTCAATAATTTAGATGTAAACAAGAAAAATATCTAAAACAAAATTGTAACTAACATATTGGTATTTTTAGTTTGTTTTTTATATTTTTAGTAATATTTTTGTAGCCGATGTGTTGGACACCCAACTCTCTTCGCAAACAGGGTGAGGACAAGTGGATTCGGCTGCATTAAAAAACATTAGTTTAAAACATAGTTAGCAAGTTTCCGTGTCAGACAACTTTTTTTAAAAAATCTCTGATTCTTTGAAATCTATTGAGAAGTCCGAGTTTTTTAGATGATCTTCAAAGAATTTTATTTTTTTAATAGACTGATATAAATCTATATATTATCTTATTTCAATTTTTTTTTTTCAAAAGAACTTCTCCCGTATAATTTTATCTCTTGATTGATTTAATATATTTGAATTTTGATTTAGATATAAGTATATTAAAAGTGAGGTAAATTAAGAATATTGATTTAACAAAAATTTCCATCAATGATTTTACTAATATATTCCTTTTAAAAAAGTGCGGTATCTTCTCTAAAAACTAATCGAATTTTTTGAAAATTTGTTTTTTTTTTTTTGTAACTCATGGTCGAATTTTTTGTAATCTATGATCGAATTTTTTGTAATCCATGATCGAATTTTTTGTAATCCATGATCGAATTTTTTGTAATCCATGATCGGATTTTTTGTAATCCATAATCGAATTTTTTGTAATCCATAATCCATGATCGAATTTTTTGTAATCCATGATCAAATTTTTTGTAATCCATAATCGAATTTTTTGTAATCCATAATCCATGATCGAATTTTTTGTAATCCATGATCGAATTTTTTGTAATCCACGATCGATTTTTTTGAAAATTTGTGGTTTTTTTTTTTGCAATCCATGATCGAATTTTTTTTTGTAATCCATGATCGAATTTTTTGAAAAATGATGATTTTCCGAAAAGATGCGAAAATCGTGACAAGGTTTTGATTATCATGAGGTATTAAACCATATTATTAATTTTTATTGTTAAAGTTTATGTTGAAAAAATTGTATGTTGATAGATTATTTATGTAAAAAAATGCATATTATTATATTTTTAATGCAAAAATGTATTTTTTTAATTTGTTGTTAATGCATATTTTAGTTGGAATGACTGATGTTAGGTGGCTTTGTGAAGAATTGTTTTTTTTGTTTTTTTTTTGGTACATGATCGATTTTTTTTTAAAAACCGTGATTTTTCGAAAAGATGTGAAAAATAGTGACCAGGTTTTGATTATCATGAGGTATTAAACCATATTTTTAATTTTTATTGTTAAAGTTTTTGTTGAAAAAATTGCATGTTGATAGAATATTTATGCAAAAAACATACATGTTATTATATTTCTAAATTCTAATGCAAAACTGTATTATATTTTTAATGTAGTGTTACATTAAAAAAGTATTTTCAATTTTAAAAATTTTGAAACCAAAAAATGCATGTTGTTAAATTGTATTATCGTGAGGAATTAAAGTGAATATCATTGTAAAAAAATTGTGGCATACATGACAATTATATTATCCTGCATTTTTTTAATTTTATTATTAATTTTTTAATGCAAAAAATGTATGTTCTTGATACTTGAGTTGTAGCCATGTTTGGAGCTTGCATTATGTATTATATTATCCTGTATGTTTGTAATTGATATGTACGAAAATATTATTGTCAATAGAAGTATTTTGCAATAACAAATAACAACAAATATAACTACGTGAACTACCCCAGCATATTTTCACTACACATGGTGATTATTTTTCTTGTTGAACTGACGGGTTAATTTTTAACTTTTTACATATTAAAACAGTTGAATCATGTCAAGATCTGTAGAAGACCCTGCATGGCAACATGAGGTCAGACTTGATCCCAACAAAAAAGACAAAATTATTTGTAATAACTACCAAATAGTGATAAGTAGTGGGGTACATAGGTTCAAGCAACACTTGGCAGGGGTTAAGGGAGATGTTTCTACATGCAGTAGTGTTTCTAGTAATGTAAAAAAACAGATGGCGGCATTTCTTAATGCTAACAAAGGTAAAAAAATTGTCAAACATAGGACGAATGAGGAGATGCTAGTTTATATACGCCATACAGAAGAGCAATATAATAATGACCTAGAAGAGCAATATAATAATGATCTGGACATGGCCACAAGAATGAGTTTACATGAACAATATCAGAGGGAACGTGGGTTTAGAATACCCAGTGGGTCTAGTTCAGACATGCATGATGGGTCTAGCTCAGACATGTATGGCAGGCCCAGCTTAGACATGCATGGTGGGCCCAGGTCGAGCATGTATGGCCGACCCAGATCAAATATATATGGAGGGGTTGGTGGCAATATGTATCAACAAGAATCAAACGTTGAAGAAATAGTTCCTAACTTATCTAGAAGTGCCAGTATTGCAGGTCATGGTCGTATAGACCCATTTCTCTCAAAGCCTAAGTCACAACCGATGACTCTAAAAGGCATGGTTAAAGGTACAAGAAACATGTTGGGGAGATATATTGGTAAATGGTTCTACGATAAAAGGATTCCCTTTGATGCAGCTAATAGCCCATATTTTCCACCTATGGTCAGTGCAATCCAGAGAGTCGGACCCGGGGTAAAACCCCAGACGGCATATGAGCTCAGTGGGCCAATATTAGATGAAGAGGTGGAGGAAGTTACAAAGTGGATTGAAGAATATAAACAGAGTTGGCCAAGGACAGACATTGCTCTCATGAGTGATGGTTGGTTGAATAAAGTTATCAAAAATGAGTTTTTAAACTTCTTGGCCCCAAAAGGTACAGCTTTTTTGTCTAGCAAAGACGTGTCAAGAACGACGAAGGATGCAAACTTCTACGTACGACTATATGATCAGATAGTGGAGGAGGTAGGAGATAAGCATGTAGTCCAGTTTATTACGGATAATACGCGTGCACGTGTTTCTGCGGGCAGCAAGTTGATGGACAAGAGGAAGCATCTAGTATGGACACCATGTGATGATGCACACAACATTGATCTTATGTTAGAGGAGATCGGTGAGATAAAAATTGTGAAGGATACTCTAGAGGAAGCAAGATTGGTGTCGAGATTTATATACAACCACTCTAAAATATTATTTATGTTTAAAGAACACTCTAAGAAAAAAAAGATAATCAGGCTTACCATAACCCGTTTTACAATCGATTACTTAGCTGTGGACTCCATTCGGGAATCTGAAGGTAGGTTAAAGAGATTGTTTACCTGTGAAGAGTGGTTAAATGACTGCCTCTCGAAGTCTAGTACCGATATAAAAGTGGACAGCATAGTCTCAAATAGAAGGTTTTGGTCTCGATGTTTTAATGTCTTAGAAGCCACTGCCCCTTTGATCACGGTGTTAAGAATTATGGATGCTGACAAGAAAGCTATCATGAGCATCCTTTATGAAGGTATCGAAAGAGCGAAATCAGCTATTGGGGAGAAGTGTAGTTTTGCTAGTAAAGTGATCGAGATTATAGAACGGAGGTGGAACACCAAATTTGGACGTCCAATTCATTATGCTGGTAAATATATATTTATATCATAAGAATGTTTCATTTTAAATCATTTTTTTATGAAATTGTAAATGACATTTTTCTGTCTATATATTTTATAGGTTATTACTTCAACCCAAAATTTTTCTATTTGACACCTGAACATCCCTACAAGATTATGGAAGGGGTCAGATACATTATTGCAAGGTTAGAGAGAAGCCAACGAAACCAAGTAGCAGCAATACAAGAGGTATTATTTAATGTTTGGGTAAGAACTTTATTGAGTTGTTATATTTGTGAGGAATAATGCACTAAAATGAAATATATGTGTTTTAGCTTGCTATGTATAGGGATGCTATAGGATCCTTCGAAACTAGACTTGCCAGGAATTCATGAACTAAGATAGATCCAGGTTATCCCCTAGCTAATATTTTGTTCATTCATATATTTAATCTTATGAATTGTTCTTGCCCTTACAATGCTTTTTGCATTTTAATACAGCTGAATAGTGGGATATATATGATACTGATGCACCTCACCTAAAGAGGATAGGAATCAAGGTGCTCTCCCAGACATGTTCTGCTACTAGCTGTGAGCCAACTAGAGTACGTTCCAATGGTTGCACACTACTAGGAGAAATCGACTCGTTTCGGAGAAGCTTCACAAACTAGTCTACGTTCATTAGAACTTAAACCTCCGAGAGTGACAAATAAGAATGAAGCTTGAAGACTATGGGCCGATAGACTTAGACAAAATATTTCTCACAGACATAGCAGAGCAATGGGTAGTAGAAGAGGAGGAGTCAGTGTTGCACAAGAGAGCGTTCTTTGAGGCTATCGGTAAGGAAGATCTTGAAGAAGGTGATGAGCAGCATGAAAGAGAAAGCAGTCAGCCAATGTATCCACAAAATCGTCGGAGATGTCGGTGATATTGCACCTAATGAGGGAGAGTGGGAAAGGGGTCTAAGGGAAAATGAGAGATGATGATTCCGAGGCCACCCTATCCCATCCATATTATTCACATATCGAGTCCCAACAGCAACAGGGTAGGGATGAGCACGACAGTGTAAGTGAGCATCAAGGATGGACAAGCTTCAGGGATTTTGGATTGGGAACACAACAGAACACTAACACTCAAAAGATTTAGATATAGTCAGATGCCTGCTAATATCGATGATTCGTTTTTAGATCGAATCAAAGAATTGTCAAACGAATTCAATCGATGGCACCAGCGTGACCAAGAAGAAGAACATCGTCATCTGTCATTTTATTTTTAAATCATATGTTACTAATTGTATGCTTTATTGTCGTCCATGTATGTTGATATGCTTATTCCATGATAATTCTATATTTATCCTTTTGTGTGACGTAAATTAAATGGTAAATAGTAGTTCATGCAGGGAAAGAACATATCAATATTCGCATATTCATGCAAAGAAATGAAAATTCTTAATGGAGTACCCTCATTTTTTATTAAATTCTTAAAAAACAATATTTATAATGAATTTTAATAATTTTTTCGGATTTTTTTTAAGCTTTAATCTGACCGATTCATCAGATTCCCGATCCGGATCGCCGATTCGCCGATCAGGATCATTTTTTGAGGTGCCCAATCCGGGTCACCGATCCGCTTTTTAAACCATAGGTTCAAAGTTATTGTTGTTGCATATTTTGCTCCCAATAAGTATGTGATGTCTTGTGTTGTGATAATAGAGTATGTATTTTTGGATTTATTGAAAGTTTAGACAATAAATTGTCAAGTATCACTTTAATGATACTAGGTAAGACCATAAAATCTGTGTTCAATGGTTTTAGTATATTTATACATTGATTGAAAATCACAATCTTATATTATGTTATCTTTACATATCCAATTTTTTCACTCCATTTGTTTGAGTCAAATCTGAAATATTCAATATTCTATAACTATATTTTTTAGCGATATGTATTATTTACCTAATCTTTGTTCAATGGTTTTAGTATATTTATACATTAATTGAAAATCACAATCTTATATTATGTTATCTTTACATATCCAATTTTTTCACTCCATTTTTTTGAGTCAAATCTGAAATATTCAAGTTTCTATAACTACTTTATTTTTTGGCAATATGTATTATTTACCTAATTTTTTATTCCGACCTTTGAAAATAATGAAAAAATATCTCCATACTCCCTATTTTTAAGTTTCATTTCACAATAGACCCAAGGTTTTAAAAGATATCTTGGAGCATAAAAATTGTAGATTTTATTTCTTATTACCCCCTGTGATAATTTAAATCTTTTTTTTAGGCCAAACAAATCTAAAAAGATATACCTTTTCTAAAAGCCATCCTCCCAAATTTCTAGAGAAAGAGAAGGGCTTTATGGACGTAAGAGGTTACCGAGAGGAGAGAGAGAGGTGTTTGGAGAAACACTGGATGAGAGATAGAGTGAAAGACAGAGGAAAGAGGAGAGAGAAAGAGAGAAGTTTGAGGTATATAAGTGAAGAGAGAGAAAGAATTGGGTTTAGATAGAGCATGTATTTCTCACATTTGTTTAGGTTAAAAAATAGGTTTAAACTGGCCAGGGGGTTAGAAGATATTTTTGAAACATTAGGTTTATCAAGATATGAAACCTAAAATAGGAGATATAGAGATATTTTCCCTAAAATAAAATATATTTATTTTTGATGTTTTAGTTTGTCAATACATTATTATTTGCCGACTTGCTAACTATTAATGGAACTAGGGTTTCTAGACGCCATGCCAGCCTAGGCCTCTCCCCGCTCGAAAGAGAGTAGAAATTTATCTTTGGGGTTCATATACCTTTGGTCCAAATCTAGTCAGGCAAGAAAATGTACTGGCGGGATCTTTAAATATATAAATAAATTTAATGAGAAATTATACAAATATCCCCATAATTAATTAATTTCAAAATTTCCCTTTGAAAGCGGAAAAACTTAGGACCTTCAAGGTCCAAAGTTCTTCTACGATCCACCTCGGCATGTTAGAAAGAAGCTCTAACGATCCCCAATAATTAACTTAAGACCTTCGACATTCGAAGATAGAGACCATCGGACCTTAAAGGTTCTATATTTTTTCTGGATCTTAGGAGCCACCTGGGCATGCTAGGAAGTGGCTCCTACGATCTAGGACCTTCTAGGTCCTAAGTTTTTTGTGAATAACTACATGCCAAAGTTACACTTATATATTCATGGATCCCAGAGCTTAAACTTTAGACTTTCAAAGTTTGCGGTAGAATCAATTTGGTCAATTTTTAATACAGAATTTTATTTAATAATTTCCATATGAGCATGATCTAAGGCCCACACTCCCAACCCTCGATTTCACATTTAATGGTTAAAAGTGATAATGACCTTTTTGTACCAAATTTAAATTATCTTATTATGCACTTTTCGATAGATGTAATTAGGGCTATCTTTTGCCAAATGTTATATGTTGTTATTTATTTAATCATAATTAAACTTTTAAGAAGTAACAAAAATGACAAGTATCAAGATATTTAAGGTGCTTTTTCTCGCAAATATTTGAAATCAAGATAAAAGCCATTACATTATTAACTAAAAACCTAAAGGAAAAAGTTTATATAAGTGCAAGGCTCTAAGCAATCAAAATGGGCACCTCAAAAATTTCACTGGAAAAGTTGTTTTGATACTCAAAATTCCTCAAATTGATCATCTCGACCTAAAGATGCATCTTGAAATAGTGCATCTTGAAATGCATTTTTGGACCGTCAATTTTCAATATTTTCAACTTTTCATAGATCTGCTCGATTTACACTATTTTTGAAGCTTTAAATTTTATAATTAGAGATGAAAATATAGTTTAAGGTTATCACAAAGTTTTTCAGTATTGAAACTACATTTCTCAACACAATTTGAAGGTGCACTTTGCTTTGATTGTTTAGAGCCTCTATCATATGCCACTGTACCCTTATCAAAAACACTTATTATTTAACATAAAAAAAACTTTTATTTTAGACACTCGTTACCATCACACGAAACATTTGGGGGTTATAACCAACATGAGAATGGTTGTTCTTATGCTTTTCTAAATTCTCGTAAATATTTGATGAAATTGATTACCCCACCAAGAAAGTGAACATGATGGTCTATGACCCCATGAATATTGTCCGACATTATTTTTTTGCTCCTTTCTTTTGTCTGCAAAAAGAGTATATTTTATTGAAGTGAGGAGCTTATCATGCTTAAGCTTTTTATAGCTACAATTTCGATGATTTATTCTCACATCTAATAACTAAAAAAAGAAAGTGAAATTTTTAGTTGAATCGCCTTACAAGAGTCATATTCAAAATAAAGATAGCCTATTTTAAGTTTGCAAAAAGTTATTATAAGGTTGCAACCTTAACATGTAGAATTACAAATGCACCTCAAAAATCAATCAGAAAGGTTGTTTTAATGTTGAAAAAACCTCTAATTGTTTATGAATATGAAAGAAAAACAAATATTTTGAGTCCCAAAAATAGTGCATCTTGCATTACATTATTTAGACCGTCCATTATCAAGATTTTCATAAGTTTATAGATCTGCTTGATTTTGACCATTTTTGGAGCTTAAAATTTTTTAATTAGATATGAAAATAGATTTTGAGATAATCCTAAGAATTTTTTCACCAAAATTACATGTTAGGATACAATTTGGAGGTGCGCATTAATTGGATTGTTTAAGGTTGCAACTTATAGAAACCACATCTTTAAGTTTTGGGCAAATTTCTCGCTTTCTTTCTTTCTTTTAAAAAACGCTCAAGTTACCCCAGTTTAGACAACTAGCATCTAACCCTATCTCCCATTTATGAAGAAAATAAAAAAAGAAAGTGGGTTCAGACCCCCAAGATCCGAACCTATATCTCACTTTTTATTACACTTTCTGTAAATGGCAACTAACAAGCAGCCACTCTTGCCATCTTTGACATGCTACCTCTGCATCAAAATATGCACCTACACCTGAATTGACAAGAAAGAAACTCCAAAAAGGGAATTAAGCATTGTTATCAAGAGCACATCAGTAAGCCAGTCTGCCGTCGATTTGTGCTTTGGCCTCTTTGGCCTCGAGTATGGTTAGACAACTCTTGATAAAATTTTGTTTGACCAGTTTTTGCCGATGGGTTTGATCTACTTCGACTGGCCTAAACAAGCTAGGCAACTTGATACATTTCATATAGTTAAACTAATTTTGTACTTTTTATTGAATTTTTTAAATCTGATATAACCAGTTATACAGTTGATCAGGATGGTTTTGATTAGATGAGACGCCTTACCGATCCAATGTGTCAATATAACTCCTCTAACACTTTTTTTTAGGTAAATCAGTGGGGGAGAAGGCCCATATTCCTCTGACACTAGTATCAAGAGTAATGCATGTTTCGATCAAATATGGACACACCCAATGATTGTTTCAAAACATAGCGATTCATGATCCATATCGTCAATCTAGACTGGGAATCGGTCAGGACCAAAACAGTTCTTGGAAGGTATCAGTCTCGCCCAGTCCACCCCTAAACTACCAACCTTTCATGTTCTTTTTTTTTTAAAAAAAAAAACTTATCAAATGTTTTCCTATATCCTCCCTAAATCACCTTGCTTAAACTCCTATTTTAGAATTGTTTATTATTTTTCAATTGTTTTTATATCATTGATTCGGACTGATTTAGATCATAATCTGTCAATCCGACACGGATATGTGGGGGTGGAGGTCCCACACCACAAAGAGAAAACTGTACCGTACATTTTCTTCAAATGTGTCGGGTCTCTCTCATGGTGTCCCCTCATTTCCTAGATAGTGAATCTAGGCCTCCTAGCAACCTACAAAGCAAATGAAAACTGTTATTTGGATAGAAAAGAGTAGGGGTGGCAACGGGGTGGGTATGGTTCGGGTCCGACTGGACGCAGACCCAAACCCGAATGTATTCAGGTCCAAACGTTGGACCCATACCCGTACCCATCAAATCTCGTTCTCGCCGGGTCCATTGCCACCATCATTATGAGCTTCTTCTTCTTCTTTTCCTTGCCTTTTTTTTACCATCATATACTCATTATTGGCAATAATATCACAATCACTTGCAATTAGATTTCAAGTCTTTTAATTTGTCGTTTAATAGCTAAAGATGACTGTGAGTTCTTATTGTATATGATCCTTAGTACACCAAATAAATAGGGCTTGAAGTATTTTATCTACAACAATTTACGGATATTGGTCGAGTATGGGTCGGGTTCAACCCAACCCAGCCCCGGACACAGATAGTGTTCGGGGACAAGGTCGAAACCCCAACCCAAAGATCCAAATATTGGACCCATACCCAGACCCGTGTCAGGTATACGCGCCGGGTCTTGGATCCATTGCCACCCCTAGGAAAGAGACAGAATGGCGAGCTCGATTCTGGCAGCCAGACTCTTATCTGTTATTTTCAATCGGCAAACCTTTACACTTTTATTTGAGGCATTAAAGAGGAAACTACATAGAGATTGCCTCAACAACGCATCCATTACTCTCTCTAAATAAAAGCCTGAAAAGCAAAACAAAGCCTTGTTTTCATGCCATGCCATTTCCCACCTTCAGTAGAAAGACCAGGTGAATCTGGAAAGCCAGAAAGAAGAGACTCAGAACACTAACCATAAGAAACCCTAAAACTCGAGCACCTCTAATGGACTGAGGGGCAAGGATCATCAGCCCCTTTATCACTGCAGATATAGCGAAACACTTTGCGTAGATTATAAAGAGGATCACCGAAACTTTGATATTCGCGCCTGTGTATACAAGCCGTGTTGCCAAGCCAAGAGAGACAGAACCCATCACCATGGCCATGAGGCTCACGGCCTTATATGTGAGCTTCACATTTGCAGGTATTGGTGTACCCCTGCGTGAGTTTGGGCTGGCACGGTGTGCAAAGCCTGTGAAGGAATACAAAGGAATGTAACAGATATAGAGAGAGAAAGACAGAAACAAGAGTGATGGGGAAGGAAAGAAAAGCATCAGATCAGATGTAGAGAGAGAAAGAACGAAGAGCGCTAAGGCTTAGTGTTAGTGTTACCTGATACCATTGCTACTAAGAAAGATTGCTAGTAAGATGATAACAAGTTGCAGGTCTGAAATCTAGGGTTTCTCCTTCTTTTACTGAGAAAAGTTAGGGTTTCTTATTGAAGAAAGCTCTCTCTCTCTCTCCTGGTTAAATGGAGTGGCGTTATGGTTCACTAACACGGGGATGTTTCTTTGAAGCTTCATCATGAAGAATATTTTGGCATAGAAAGTTGCAACTAGATGTGAGCTAATAACCAACTCTAAGAGGCAAAGTGTGGCAAGGCCAATTTGATATTTTCCAATAACATTCTCAAAAGGCAACAAGGTAAAATTGTTAAGGGCAATTTATCAAAGGGTGAGGTTTTTATAAGGCGCTGTCCTTATATTTAAGGCGCACTAATTTGCTTGGAGATATGGTTTCAGTGTCGAAAACTTTATGATGGCTGAAAAATCGATTCTTGTACCTAGCTATAAAATTTCAAATTTAACAAGTGATGCCAATCGAGGACACTTGAAAATGATCAAAGTTTTATAGGTATAGTTAATATAAGGCATCAACCTTGAATAATCAAATAAGGCTAGATGGCATGAAAATCGATTCCCACAACTGAAATTTTGAAATTAAGGCTCTAAAAATGGTGCAGATTAAACAAATCTATAAACACTGGAAATTCATAAAAATAGATAGTCTAAATAATGTGTTAAAAAATGCATTATTCTTACGACTTGAAACATTTTCTCTCTCTTTTTTTTTTTGTATTGTATTCGTATCATAAAAATAAATAATCCACATAATGTGTTACAAAGTGGGATTGACATATCCATAGGATAAGTGAAGTTGAGACATGGATGTTGAAATGGATAAGGGGCAAGACAATAAATGATAGAATTCAAAATGAACACTTACAAGGGAACTTAAGAGTGACTCCAATTGGCAATAGCAATAGGGAAAAGTAGACTTAAGTGTGTTGGCCTCGTATAGTGTAGACCTAATACAATACCAATTAGGAGGTACGATTTGATTCAAGCGCAAGGCTCTAAAAGGACAAAAGAAACACTCAGTAGGATATAGATGGAAGGAGTAATAAAAAATATAATGTCTTATAGCCTGACTAAAGGTATGATCCTTGATAAAGCATAATGATAGAAAAAGATTCATAAAGATGACCTCAAATAGTGGGGATAAGGCTCGAAGGATGATGATGGTGATGATTCATAAGTCGTAAAGTTAAGGTGGTCTAGTAGAGTGTTTTTTGGCATGGAAACAGTATAGTCATCTTATTATGTTTTGTTTTTTAGGTAATTCAGTGGGGAAGATAGGCCCCTACCCATTTTTTCAAGTCAATTAGGAGTTAGCTTTTTGAAACTTTAGTGGTGGGAATAGAAACCACAACATGGTGACTAAGGTGTAGGGTGCTACCACCACGACCCGAGCCCGTTTCCCATCGCCTTATTACACGGTGACTAAGGTGTCACAAAGTTGACACCTTAAGTCAACATTGTCCAAACTTTGTGCAAGAATCCACCTCTTAATAGAAGGATAAAATTTCTTTAAGAACTAGACTTTATGAAAACAAAATAAGGCCCCACCTCAAATTCTCGTCCGAAAAGCACTTTCGGCAAAAGAAATCTCCATGATAGCTCTAAAATCGATTTCCAACACTGACATTAAAATTTTAAACTAAAAAAATGTACAGATCTTGTTGATTTATTAACACATATTTTTAGCGTGAAATAGACAGCCTAGATAATTTGTTGCAATAATACCCCACCAAAATAAACTTTGTAGAAATCCTCCCCCCAACACTTTTAGTATCACACCCTAGACCCAAACAGTATTTTTTTTTGTATTTACCCCTCCTCCCCCCTTCCCAGTTGAAAAGTCAAAAAAAGTGAGATTAAAATGTCTTTCTCCTCTCACTCTCTTTACCCATCCTCTCTCTTTCCCTCAACCCACCCTCTCTTTCTCTCTACCTGTCCATTCCTCTTATCCGAACAATGGTCTCCCGCATGGACAGAAGAACCTCACATGGAACCTTGGGGCTCCATTAGAGCCAAATCATGTCTACAAAACTGCATGTTTTGTGATCCACCATGGCTAGCAGTGGGCATTTATGTACAGTGGGGGCCAATAAAAACCCAAGTTTGGAGTCATGGCTAATAGCTGAGAAGAACCCAATACACAAAGCATGTAATTGTTCACTCTCTGAGATTTTCTATTAGTCGTTGTCTCCTTCTTGTGAGCATTTTAATGGTCACCTATGTTAGAATTCGTGGGAGCATAAAATAGACAATGGAGAGAGAAGGAGAGAGAACACAATGTTTACATGGTTCAAGCCGAAGCCTTGCGTCTACGGATCCAAAGCCCCATCCGGCTACATCGTCACTATTTTGGATGAATGTTTACATCAAGAAGTATGTATATATATAGAGGACAATCACACAATTAGAGGAGATACTTGTGGTATGATAACTTGATGATCAAATAACTTAGTCTCTATCTTCTAGATACCTAACCTTATCAAGAGATATATACATATACATCCATAGTGATGTATATCAATATGAACCTAAGATATCTATATCCAAACACTCCCCCGCAAACTCAAGATGCTTTGACACAAAGCAACTAGAGTTTGAACAATATTAAGTTACTATGGTATTCCAAGAAACAACATTTCTTGTACTCTCTACTTTCTTCTAGAGACTTTATCTCTCTAGGGTCTTCCAAGAAACAACCTTTCTTGGCTTTCTACTTTCTTCTCTGAAGATCTCTCTCTTCATAGGCTTATTTTCTTTCTAGAGACTTTCTCTCTCTAAAAGAAATGGATTTTTCTTTCTCTCTCTTTGGAAGATCCGAGATCGAGTAACGAAAAACTCAACGATTATCACACATGATGGTGCAACAGAAAACTCCATCATCAAACAAGATCAAGGAACGAAAAACTTGATCATCAACCAGGATCGAGAAATTCGATCATTTTCATCTCCTCATCTGGAGACAGAACCCTTGATCATCAACCAGGATCAAGAAATTCGATCATCTTCATCTCATCATCTAGAGAATGGAACTCTTGAATCAATATGACCATAAGGCTGAAACTCTTGAATCAATATGACCATAACTTCCCTTTGCATAGTAGTCGGGACTGAGCTAGAATCTGGATTTTCTTTAGCGGTTACATTGGAGATGTTGAATTCATCTTTACTCATCTCATCCCCATATCTCCTATACTCTCCCTCGCAAGTTGGGTGTGGATGCGAAGAAACACCCAACTTGTAAAATATAATTTTTTTATTTTTCTCTTTTGAGTACAATCATATAAAAAAAATGCCAATGAAATTGAGTTTCTAGACAATAGCCCACATCTTAAAAAAATACTACCTTTTTGTTTTTTTTGTTTTCTTCTCTACTGCTTCAATTCTTTTTTTTTTGGTGGCCAAGCCAACTCCACCAGGAATAGGTGGAACATTCGGCGCTAAAAAGTTTGAGGGGAGCAAGCGCGTTTGAATAGAATAGGAAATAAATACTTGTCCATTGGCTAGTGAAGATCGCTCAACTCCAGGACAAACACAGCAGAGGCCCGAACCTGAACTCCTCGGGTCACTGTAGTGGAGTACAATGGTGGTGTCTATTGATATAGAGATATACTTCTAGCATTGTTCTCCTCACGAACCCCAATAAAACCACTTTGCAAGAGCCTAGCAAAATCTTCAAGCCATAGTAGCATCCCATCTTGTTGATCACCGCCATCGAGAGCATGCACAGTATTTACCAATGCACTAGGCACACATGCCATCAAATTTATATCGGCCTTACGATATTTTGTGTTAACATAAAGTAAACCATCCGTGCAATCGAGGAAAAATATCTTCCTCAGGTTACACGACGAGGCAACAACAATGAGTTTTTACTTTCTAGAGGATTTAATGCGACGCGAAAGACTGATTGATAACTCAAGCAAAGACAAAATTGATCTCGCTCTGACGGATTGATAACTCGAGCAAAGATGGAATGGGGCAAAGACAGAATTGATCTCACTTTGATACCATGTTGGAATTCATGGGAGAATGGAATTGAGAATGGATAGAGAAGAAGAGAGAACACGATGTTTACGTGGTTCAGGCCGAAGCCTTATGTCCATGGATCCAAAGCCCCATCAGGCTACATCTTCACTATTTTGGATGAATGTTTACATTAAGAAGTATGTCTATATATATAGGACAATCACACAATTAGAAGAGATAATTATGGTATGATAACTTGATGACCAAATAACTTAGTCTCTATCTTCTAGATACCTAACCTTGTCAAGAGATATATACATATACATCCATAGTGATGTATATCAATATGAACCCAAGATATCCATATCCCAACAACCTAGAGCTTGAGAACTGAAAAACTTCCTTGTGCAAAAAAGGCAGGGAAACACCTTGTTTTTGTGATTAGAAAACCTTGAGGGCTCTGCAGCTTCAATGGGGGCATTGAGTTTCTCTTCCTCGGCCATTTTGTGAAGTTAGGGTATGATATTTTATGGGTTTTGTTTTTCTCTCTCATGGATGGGGTAGCATACGGGATGTAGAGAGAGAAATCAATGTGCTAGTGAGAGAGGGCGGGTAGAGAGCAGGTAGAGAGAGAAAGAGAGATATGGTGGGTAGAGAGCAGGTAGAGAGAGAAAGAGAGAGATGGCGGGTAGAGAGCAGGTAGAGAGAGAAAGAGAGAGATGACGGGTAGAGAGAGGGTCGTGTAACATATTGCAAGTAGAGAGAAATCAATTTGCTAGTGAGAGAAAGCGGGTAGAGAGAGAATAAAGAGAGGGCAGGTAGAGAGAGAAAGAGAGGGTGGGAAAAGAGAGAGAGAGGGTGGGTAGAGATAGTGAAAGGACAAGGGTATTTTAGTCTCAATTTTTTGAAATTTTGACTTGGGGTAAATACAAAAAAAATAGTGTGTGGATCTAAGGTATCATACTAAAAATATTAAGGGAATGATGTCTACAAAGTTCATTGTGGAGAATATTTATCATTTTCCCGTAATAATACTGATAGAGAAAGAATAAAATGATACTATTTACTTTTTACTCAAGGTGGTCACAATAATTTCCATTGGATGTAATAAAGCTGGGTAGCTACAATTATTTCATTAATCAAACTCAAACTTCAAAAAAAAATTTCTGA